CCTCTGTTCCTATCGCTATGTCTATCGCTATCGCTATGTCTATCGCTATCGCTATTGCCTCGCATTGTGTTTAGGCCTTTAACCATAATCGATGTCATTTAAAAAAAGATCGGTGTACCGATTAATCGAATTCTGAAACATCGAATCAAGCATCGATTATTGAGTGGAAAAAACGTCGATTTTTATCTAATTGATGGGACGTCGCCCATCCCTAATGATAAACAATAGACGGACAACTAGGTAGTAGATAATTCACGTTGCATCCAAAGATAAACTCACAAACGATTTCGTTGTCAACAGTTGTCAACAGATGCTACAATTCGTACCGAGCACTCTGAAATCGCAAAGTGTCAAGGGGATCAAGGTCTGTAAGACTGTGATCGACAAATCATCGTTTGTCCCGCTTGCAAGAAGAAAATACAACAGAATGGTCAAATATTTAAATCAGTCGGAAGCTATTAATGTTGACAAAGACCTGTTCGAGAAGTATAAATTTAGCGTAGATCAGTTAATGGAGCTAGCTGGGCAAAGCTGCGCCGTTGCGATTGCAAGGTCTTACCCGCTTTTGTCAGAGTCGGAGGATTCCTCCAACAGAGTATTGGTGTGCTGTGGGCCTGGCAACAACGGTGGCGACGGCCTGGTTTGCGCGAGGCACCTAAAGCTCTTTGGATACTCGCCAGAGATCTATTATCCAAAAAGGACGAATAACGAGCTATACCAAAGGCTATTGCATCAATGCGTCGAGAACGATATACTTGTACTAGAAAATCAGCGCATAGAGGAAGCAACTGTAGACTCGACAGTTTTTTTGCACAAATATGCGATCGTAGTGGATGCTCTTCTGGGATTCAGTTTCAGACCACCAGTGAGAGAGCCGTTCGTTCATATCATCGACATGTTGAAAAGCACAAGCGTGCCTATTTGCAGCGTGGATATACCATCGGGCTGGGACGTCGAGAGAGGCCCACCTGAGGATGGTGGCATAAAGCCACAAATGTTAATATCTCTAACGGCACCAAAAATGTGCGCGTCAAAGTTTGATGGAAAATTCCACTATCTGGGTGGACGATTTGTGCCTGAGAAGTTGGAATCGCAGTATAATCTTGATCTACCGAAATACGCTGGCACGGACTTTGTTATTCGGCTGTGATAAATGCTTACAAATCCTATTATTCTATCCCGTACGTAATACGTTCTCATCGTCAGAAAAGTGCATTTGATTTTATCACGTGACCAAATTTTTTCAACTATCATATTAGTTACTCGAGAGAAACATGTAGCTGAAAAACATTTTTGAACATAAGCAATTTATATTTCTCCTTGTTCTCCAATTGTTTACGAATGCAGTTATTTTAACTATACATATATGTATATAGTGTTTTCGAGTGTGGTAGATTTTAATCTAACCTAACCTAACCCGGGTCGGTCGATTACATCACGAGTTTTACTTTAATTTCTGGTTGAACGAGGTCATACTTTTGAGTCAAATATGAGTTAACCGTATAGGGTCGGATTCAGACCCACTGCACTCGAAAATGCTAATAATTATTGATAAATAAATTATATATACACCTTTGAATTTATATTCGTTTAATTGCAGTTCTAAACTAATAATCAACATATATCTTTCTGGTGAAACAATCTTAAATTTATTTATTTAATGGACGTTATAAGTACCGAGTAGACGGCGAATTTTTACAGATCATTATTTTACGTTAACGCTACACATTTTTTAAAAAATTGAAAACATTGCTAAAACCTTTGACTATATACCTCTGGACTGCTAACGGCAGCCATTACTGGAATCCAAGATCTCA